GATAAGGGCTCACCATCTGTTGCCTCTTACTGAATGGGGGGGGGGGGTGACAGGGTACAGCATGGTGAGGTGTGAAATGGTGATGCCTCCCCTCTCGAGGGATGGTCTTGGTACGACCCCCCACACCTAGGAGAGGTTCTCGATACGATCCCTCCCTCCCTTTCCCAGCACCTAGCTACCAATTCCCCACATTTCCAGTTTTTCACCGAGAGATTTTCAGTCGAGCGGATGAGAGGGGGTATAATACACATGAAACAGGAAAACTCACGCGAAAAGTCAACAACCGGGAAAATTTTTTCCCAACGCGGCAAATTTCTCTCAAAGCCACATACGACCCCCTCCTCTCCCAACAACGACCAAATACGACCCCCCCCAGCGGAAAAGTACGACCCCCTATGTGTTTCACACAACGATGCTGTACCCTGTGAGGGGAGGAGATCTTTATACAGGGGGAAGGAACTGGCTGCTAAATAAAGTGTAGCATTTTTCAGTAAGAAAGTCCTTTCTGATTGTAGACTGTTCCCTTTTCATACACGCTAGACACCTCTATCCTCACTAGGGGCGTCGCAAAACTGTTATTTTTGTTGGTTAATCGGAGCTGTTCACCCTCATCCCTCCCCACCCATCCCCCTTCCCCAAGCTCGATGCTCAAATCTGGAATTGGTAGATGAGATGGAAAAGGAGATCGTTCCAGCGCAGCATTCGGGGAAGGGGCGCGCATTTCGCGAAAGCTTTCTAAAACCTGATGGTGTCCCTTATCCGATATGTTACTCCCAGACCATGCTCGCTGTATTACGTTATTTGCTCTGCCGATCCTCCGCCCCCTCTGATGAAAGGCACAGTCCATGGTTACCATATGGCCGAAGACTGGGCGGGAACAGTCAACAGTTGCACCTTCACTGTCAGCGCTCCCCTGGTATCTATCCGATGAGAGGATACCTCTAAGATGCATTAGGTTTCTAATGCACTAGTTTGAGCTGCGATGACCCGATAATAGGAGCAGCGGCTAGTACCGCGAAATGAAACTACTCTCATGTCGTTTCAGTGAGTAAGACATCAGACATTCAGAAGGATCTGCTCATTCAAACAGCTCCTGAAAACAAATCAAAGGCTCGGCTCAGGATTAACGTATCTAATTGTAAGCTCTTGAAACGGAAGATAGTGATATTACGCACCCGAATAACCATGGTACATGAACTTCCACCATCAAAACTTTATAATTTAGCGGCGAGGCAGAAGATTGTACAAATGACTCAATCGAAGCTCTTTTGTCGTCTCTCGCCAGAAAGTCACATCAACTTTTCATCTTCCTTTGGCACAGGGAAAGCCTGATTTTGAGCGTTTTGGACCGTTCCCTTCGTTTTTTTGATTAACGAGCAAGTCAAGTGGTGCATACTTTTTTATCTCTACACACCTGTTTTGGAGGACTAGTTTGTCTTACTCTGGCGGACTCCTGTTCTATGTTCCGTAGCCCCATTAACCGATTCAGAAGTTCATGTTATTTTGGGCTATTTTTGAACCCACTCTTCTTTACTGTTTTGAGGCATAAAACTTGGACATGAACCGAGTAGTTGTGAGTTTGAATTCTTCAAATTCGCTGGCTTCAGCTTCGTGCTAGGTCAGGTCGTTGAGACACTCGGAAAGGGTGATGAATCCGCTCGCTTGAGGTCGGCAGCCTCGTTTGCTTCCGCCTAGGGTCCCGTGTACGAAACTTCGTTTTCGCGTACGGGTGCAAGTTGTCAGCAAAGCTCCAGTACTTGTTGTCACCTCTCTGCGTTCTGGACCTCAAGGACCAGCGAATTCGTCGGTGGACCTCTCATTCAACGCTGAAGGGGAGAAATAACCTTGCAGGACTAGATGAAAAGTTGAGAGTGGAGGGGATCCCTTATCTATTCCTGTCACAATGATGGTCCTGGTTCTTAATTCCTTTAGAACTTCGACTCACAGCTTATTCCTTCGTTCTTGTTCCCAGTGTTTCGTTTCCTATGTTATGTGTTTGTGGTTTCGATTTTGTTTCTTTCAAATTCTTTCACTGTGGCGATTTTGCGTATTCAAATGTTTTTCCTGCGTTTGTGGCACAGGGCACCCATCGGGTGTTATTCGATATAAATTAAATAAATAATTAAACTAATATAATAAGGACCTGCTCGTGGCTCATTCACATAACCACCACTTTTTTATCTCCAACACATATATCAAGAACCTTCTCGCACAAATTTTGGCTTTGAGGGCAGTTGGCATGATAATTCGGTACTCAGCCCAAAATGTTAGCAGGTCCCTATATAGAATGTTAGCAGGTCCCTATATAGAGGGGAAATGGCGAAAAAACGAGTGAAACGGTCAAAAACCTGCGAAGAAAAGCCTTCGTTCTCAATGACTCAAAAAGCAATTTCGGACGAGTTTCCCGTAGGCATCTTGCCAATAACCGCTACGGTAGGTACGGCTGCACGTATGTACTCATATATCCATGCAGCACCGCAGCCGCTTCATACCAATCCCTTCGCTTCATATTTTACTTAGCAAATGAAGCAATACGAGCGTCAGGAACGGTCGTCCATTTGTGGGCGGGCGGGCGTGGCGGGCGTTTGGGACGTAATGTTGTGGCTTGATAGGGCCCTTATAAGGGCACCTTCCTTGGAAAAGGCATTATGCAGCGCCTGCTCAGGGTCGCGGAATTCCGTCCTGCCAGGCGTATGATGATAAGTTGTTTCGGGAATTTATCGTGCCAACTGCCTTTAACGGAACAACTAGGAATTTTTTTCTTTCCAGGTGAAGAAAAATACTACGGCAGAAATCTGGTCATTTTCTACGGCTATATTCTTCGCCGTCACCGTTGTGACAACTATCGGTTCGTGAAATTTCCTTTTGTTATTTTACTTTTTTCGGGATATTTTGACAACAGATTTAAATGGAACCACATCCGCAGAAGGGCACTTACAACCATATGGGGGGGGGCATCTCTGAAGCCCGTGTCCCTTTTTATTTTTAATGAAAGATATTGCAGGTTATGGCAACCCAGTTCCAATTACTAATGTTGGCCGCATTGTGTGCATTATGTTCTCTTTGTATAGCATTTTTAGACAATGCGCCGTTATTTTTGTAATTTATGTTTTTCATGTAGAGCGCCAAAGTCATGTACAACGTCTTATTGGCGCCGGAGCAAGAGCGGCGGCGTTAAGTGCCACCACACTACAAGGACGGTTCAGAAAAGGAAAGGCTATGAAGGCGAGAAGGGACGTCATCCCGCCCGTCCCTGCCTAAATATCTATCCCAAATGCTAGAGACCTGCCCCGCTAGCCAGTTTGGGATGTTTGCCCTTGCGCTACCACAAATGCTTTTGTCTTTTTTGGACGTTATCTATTCAGGAATACCAAAATTTACCTACTCATGGTTAACAGAATTGATCATTTTCACTTCCAGGGGAAAATTCCTCTCGGAGCACCTCGTCTGGATGTACGGCAACTACTTGAAGTTGAAGCATTTTCTGTGCATACGACGACGAGGCGGACGGAAGGAACGTCGAGAACATGTATGCGAGCACTGCCAACGGCACGGAATCGGCCACGATATGCATGTTATCGAAGAACAACGGTGAGATCGTTTACTGAATGGGTCTATCTCTAGAAGAATCCTTTTTTGCTTTTTGGAAAAGCCTATTCATATCTCAAAATTAGCGACCGTGCCAACGCCGAAGTGCATACTATTCAATCATGGCGATTACATGATACACATCTCTTTCATAAAGGATAGGGACTTGGCGAAATGCCCTATTTCGTTCGAGGGACGGACGAATCTACCGTGGAGCTGGCCAGGTCATCATGGGCAGGCATCAGTTTAGAAGAATTTCACCGAAGCAAGTTATCCACATCATATATAGCTCCTTCGTTTATGTTTTTACTCAGTAATGCCCAGCAAAACCGAGCACTCTGCTAAGGTCGTCCATGTTTGTGGGCGGGCCGGGCATGGTGGGCGTTTGGGTCGGAATGTTGTAGCTTGATAGGACCCTTATAAGGGTACCTCCCTCGGAAAAACCGCTATGCAGCGCCTACTCAGGGTCGCGGAAATCCGCCCTGCCACTCGTACCAATCCTACTCGTTTTTAGGGATTCATCGTGCCAACTGCCTTTGAGGGGTCGTAGTTAGGGAGGGAAGGGTAGTACGTAGCCTCGACAGAGAATGCTCCGATGTAGCTGAAGTTTCTGAATTGTAGAGTAGGGTGTGAAATGTGATGTTAAATTACTTCGATATATTGCAGGGTTGCATGAGCATGTGCTGATGCGTTTATGGTTTTGAAAATTGAATATTTTAGGATTCCTGCACTTTTGGTGTTGGCTATTCTAGTGTTATATACTGCACTGGGCGGTGTTTTAATGTCAAAACTGGAGCCATGGACGTTTTTCACTTCATTCTACTGGTCATTCATTACAATGACAACTGTGAGTTCAATATTTCTTGATCGTTTATGGGTTCTTAAGCATTATTTTCATCCAAAAGCTCCCTTGACGTACTTGTTCTTGAACAGTATTGGTTCTCAACTTAAAAATGACTTTTCCTTGCTTCTTGTTGCTAAATTGTTGTAGCATTTTGTTTCGAGGACGTAGTGTTCAGAAGTAGGTCCGCTTGAGAAACTGAGAAAACAGAAAAGGCGTAGGTGTGGCTCACTCTTACGGGCCGCACCAGCGGGCAAGGCGCAACGGTTGACGGTCTCCACCCACACTATTGACGTGGACTGCTCCCTTGACATATTTTCACACGTATTGTAAC